TAAAGAGGCATATGGATTTTTTTTTTTAAAAAAAAAACCTGCTTTCTCCCACTCCGTAAACAGATTTCCCTATTTTCAAACAGCGTGGGGGGAACAAGCTACAGACGCGCTCTCGGTTCCTGAACTGTTGAGAGCACCAATTAAACGGCAAACCAACCTAAAATACTCCACTTCGCCGCATTTTACAGGGATGTTTACCCGCATCCCCATTCCTTTCCCCCACCCTCTCCACTCCCCAACTCTGGATCCTCCTACTAGTAGAAAGAAAAGAATCGCCTGAAGAATTAGCGGGTTGATCCGCACACAAACTGAAAAGGCTGGGACATCCGGTCCTTTTTCCACCACTCCGGCCAATTCAAACTTCAAAGCCTCTCTCAAGCAACCGCCGCTGGGCAGGTATTGAAATGGCTTTGCGGCCCCGGGCGCCCCTTTGAAGCGCGCCCACATTCCTTCTGCAACCCACAGCAGAGGCAGAAATCAAAATGGGGCTGTTAGCGCCAGGAAGAAACCCTTCTGAGGGATGGTAAAATAGCAAAGGAGGCGTGCGCTGGGCAGGGGAGTTTGCTGCCAAAACAATGCTTGGGAAGCAGCGCCGCACGCTGACCTGCCCCCGAAAGCGACCCCTGGCCGGCTTCCCTGACAAATCCCAGGCTCCCAGGCAGGCAGGCAGGCAACTCTCGAGGCTCGCCCGAGTGTTTGCAAACACGCGTCCTCTCTCTGCACGGCGCCCCAAGTGCCGCGTTACCTGCCCGCGCACGCATGGAGGGAAGTCGGCGGCCACGAACAGCCCCGACCCCCGCGTCCCCGGACACCCCTTCCCTTCGGCCAAGGCCGCTCTCAAGTGTCACCCGCGGCCACGCCAGCTCCCGCCCGCGTATACCCCGCAGCTCCACTCACCCAGCTCCGGCTGAAGTGGGGGGTAGCGGCGGCGGCAGGAACTCCGGGATCCTCTGGGCGACGCCAGCTCCCGCCGCTTGGCTGCCGACGTCCGGCTGCGGCGGGTCGTGGGAGCCGGCGCTGAGGAAGCCGCCGCGGCTGGGGGAGGACGCGGGGCTGCCGGGGGTGGAGCGCGGCGCCGGGGCCAAGGGCTGGGGGGCGGAGGAGGAGGAGGACGTGGCTCCCCCGGCGATCCTGGTGAGGCAAAGGGGCAGCTCCGCGAACTCGGCGGGCTCCGGCAGCCGGTCCAGCTCCACGCTCCGCACTTTGCGCAGCTGCTTCCGCTTCCAGTCTGAGCGCGACTCCCTCTGGCCGCCTCCGCCGCCGCTGTCTCCGGTGGGGAGCCGCGCGACGAGCACCGGTGCAGCGCCGCTGCCGTACCGCGAAGGCTTCGGGCTCGGAGCGCCTTCGGCGGGCGCTGCTCCAGAGGCGACAACTGCGGCGGCGGCGGCGGCTTCGTTCCCCGAAGATAATCCTCCCGAGGAGGCGATGTGATCTCCAGCAGCAGCAGCCGCCGCCGCCGCCGCTGGTCCTCCTGCCGCCGCCATTTTCTCTGGCGGGTCACATCCCACACTCGCCCTCCGTCAGTCAAGCGCACCGGCTCTGAGCGGCCAGGGAGCGAATTCCCCGGACGGCCACTACGCCTACGGCGTGGCCTACGCCGGTTGCGTAGCCGGAGGAGAACTGGGCCGATGGGCGGGCCCAGGTTGCGGGAGGGAAAGAGAAAGAAAGGAAGAGGGCGGAGGCGATAGGTAACCTGAGGGGCGCCCTGGCTGGTTTTGCTCAGTCGGGCTCTCTCAGCGCCGCCTCTGGCCGGCCAGGTGCATTTGGCTTTTGGCTCTGCGCTCGCCTTGGCCGCTCCTCCTCGCTTCCTCCCCCGCCCCAACCAAGTTTCTTCTCTCAGCTGCCCTGCGTTCCCACCAGAGAAACAGTATCTTGGGGGAAAGTGCCTGCTCTTCACTAGGGATTCTTCCGTTTGCTTGCTCTTCGGGAGGATTGCACACCGATCTGCCTTGTGAAAAAGCTGTTGTATCTGTCCGGTCAGCAGAAATAAGGCAATTGGTGGACCTCTGAGGCATTTAGCAAGGATGGAAGCACCCTGAACGGCAACGGGGGGTGGGGGGTGGGGGGAGATATTTTTTTTCAGGACTCCCCCTATAATTCTGGCATTTCCTGTAAGTCGGGAACGAGAAGTAAAGACCTTCAGGCGAAGCCTTACGTGCTGAAAGTCTGCTTTAAGACAGATTTGTTTCTTGGGAATGGAAAATTCAAATCCAAAAGTTTGAAATTGGGGGGGGGGGTCAGTTCTGTCACTCTGCTGGGGAAACTAAACAGAAGTAGTTAATAAATCACTCTATGATGGCATTGGCATGCCTCCCTGATTCTACAGTTAACAGTTGTCCTTTTCTAATTTTTCATAAAACAGAGATACACAAATTAGCTTGCATCATGGTGGGATCAAATGCTTCCATCTCCCTGTGCTGTGTAAATCCAAGTTATAAATAACAGGGTTTTGTTTTGTTTTAGTTTTATTGCACAGTTGTTTTACTATGACAAACATTTTTCTCTGGTCAATTTATTCTACAACATGAAAGGCATTTTAACCAAAAGTAGAAGTCTTGAATGGCTTCCACAATTCAGTAATTTCTTAGCAAATCTCACATTACTTTTTGGATTGGCATCTTGAACTTGTAAGCCAGTGTCATGGCTCCTGGAGAAACTCATGAATAGGCTAAGTGGCATCCTGACACTGCAACTCACTGCAACATTAGAGTATTATACGTGCCATTTCCATTCTTAGTTACTGGAATGTCATTTGATACTCTCCTTTGCCCTTTTCTCACATCTACTTAGAAAACAATGAGGTATATCTAGTTTTCCCTGAGCCTTATGGTTCAGAGAAATTAAACACTTTGGCTCTTGAGCCATATTAGACATCTCAACATAGTTTTGTATCATCCAAGTAAAGTACCCATTTAGACTGCCTGCAAGACTAGAGAGTTAGGAGCAGTGTTCTATGATGAATATGCTCCTATTTAAGTGAACGGTTCTAGACAATAGTCCTGCAGAAAGCAGTCCTGTTTTGATTGCTGCAACAAGGAGTATTATAAAACTTGATCCTATATCCAATGTTATTTAATTATTAAATGAAGTTATTGATAGAGATCCTCTCTCAGTTTGGGTGGTGATGATATTAAAATATGTATTGCTACTCCAAAGCAGACTGGATATCAACTGGTGTCTGAAGGCTATGAAGGCCTGGATGGGGAAAAGTAAGCATGGAGGCCTTGACTGCATATCCAGTCTGCTTTGGTGATGTTTTTCCATAAGCATCTTTATTTTTCAGAACCTTGGTCCCCCTTGTGATTTGAACAGGGTTACAGTACTCCCTTCATGAAGGAGCAGGTGACTGACTTAAAGGTCCTTCTGGACTTCAGTTTTTGTTTCAATAACAAGTAGACGTTGTAAACTAGGGCCTTTATCCAGCTTTGGGTGATTTATTACATATAACCTTATCTCAAGCCATGAAACTTGATGATGGTGGGTCATACTGTTGTCACCATACAGTGTTGCTGTAATATAGTCTATGTGGGACCATCTTGAAGATTGCTCACAACTGGTACTGAAGACAATGATTGGATTGCTGGCAGGTAGACATTGTCTCTACAGTTGCTACGCTGATTGACAGTAAGCTTCCATGCTCAATTCAAAATTCTGGTTTTAACCTTTAAAGCCCTCCACATCACAGTGCTGGGCTGTGACCATCTTGTCAAAATTGATTCTGCCTATCCTATCTGATCATTGAAGGAAACCTTATGTAAAATTCTGCTCTCATGTAAGGGAGTACAGTCTATGGCAATTCTCAGTCATCCAGGTCCTGGTTGTACCAAAGGTGCTTTTTCAACTGGACTTTCTGATTTTTCTTTGAAGATGTTTCTCTTCTCATCCAAGAAACTTCTTCAGCTCTGACTGGATGGTGGAGAATAATTTCACCATTTGCCTATCATCCAGTCAGAGCTGAAGAAGCTTTTTGGATGAGGAGCAAAGTATCTTCAAATAAAAACAGAAAGTCCAGTTGCCTCTTGAAAAAGCACCTTTGGGATAAGGGAATACAAGTAGCCTCAAATCTGAACTTTATGCTAATGCTGGAAATGTGTTTACAAATATTCAATAATTTTGTCATGAAAGAGAAGGACATCCATCTTATTTTTGTAATAATTCTTGTATATTGTGTTATATTTTATGAATCTCTTCCTCAATGAACTCCAACCACATCAATCATTCCACCATGGCTCTTTCATCCTCTTTCTCATTATTATTGCAATTTTTATTTTAAAAACACAAAGGATCAAGTTCCTTTGTGGTGCTTCACAAGACTGAAAAAAATGGCTAATACATGACAGACCAGGTCATCCCTAATCATGCATCACAGTGTTCAGAAGTGAATAGTTGCCTGAGGAGAGATGACAAGGTTATGTCTATCGTGCAAAAGAATCATAGACTTAAAAGAGATCTGTCAAATCTATTACATAGCTGGATCCATACCATACAGATTTATTGGCTGCTGAAACTGAAGTGGAGTTGGGAAATTCTCAGACATTGTGTAATGAAGAGTTAAGTCAACAGAAAATCTTATCTTGCTGAATATAGTTGAAGGCCAATAAAATTCTCATGATATCTTTTCTTTCCAACAAAGGAAGATGCCAACTCAGGAATGCCTAGAGGCACACTTTACAATATACCTTTTTGAATCCATAATATGTTTCACATATGATTTCAGTATTATTTTAAGAATCAGAAGTTGGAGCATTTGGATGATGTTCCCTGGTAGTTTAACATAACAGGTGGTTTTTTGCTTTATTTATTTAATTTGTATCTCGTCTTTATTATTTTTATGATAACTCAAGGCGGCGAACATATCCAAAACATCTTCCTCCTATTTTCCCTTCAATATCAACCCTTTGAGGTGAGTTGGGCTGAGAGAGGGACTGGCTCAAAATCACCCAGTTGGCTTACATGTCTAAAGCAGGCTTTGAACTCATAGTCTCCTGCTATCTAGTTTGGTACCTTAACCACTAAATTAACTACAACATTTGTTACACAGTGATAAAGAACTACTTGTCTACCACCAATTTTAGAAAAATCTTTTGAGAACATCTGACAATGATCTATTCCTATGCCAAAATCTAGAAGATTTGTGTACATTTAATGTTCTGACAGTGATAGTGGATGGAAAGTTAAATTCAGGATTTGTGCTATAGTCTTTCTTGGTAGCAAGTCCAGCTGGTTTCATGAAGATTGTTTTTTGTTTTTTTAAGGCTATTTTTAAAATTATGGCTTCAAACACTATTACTTAAAATATACACAAGAAAGGAATACAACATTAATAGCTGGCCTTATTTTCCAATGAGTTCACAGGCACTAATATAACCACCAAGTACAGGCAATCCTTGGGTTAAGAATGTCTCACAGCAAAAGGTAAAAGAAAATCTTCTGTGCTTTTTGTTTTTACTATGTGAACTTCATTTGTTTTCTCTACATGAGAAAAGGAATATATTTCTTTCATACTGCTTATTCATATTGATATTCAATTCATATTCATCTACCACCCTTTCATTCTTGATTCTGTTCTTGTTTTATCATACATATTTCTTGAATACTTCATTTCCAATGCAGTCAACTTAATTTTTAGGTTTCTCTTTATAAGCCCTGTTCTGGGAAAATATACCTATCTTTTTACTAAATTTTGTACACTTTAAACTACTAAATTACACAACTGTTCTAATTTTTCACCATTTATAGATAACTTGTAATTCAGGGGTGTCAAACTCAAGGCTCGTGGGTTTGATCTGGCCCACGGGGTGCTTAAATCTCACTCACAGCCAAAACTGGGAAAGAGGGTGGCCCGCACGTGCCCCCCCGAGCCCCATTTTGGCTGGCGGGGTGCTGCAGGAGGCATCTGTCCCATTTCCTCCCATCCCGCCCGGCCCACAGAGGAGAACTACAATGCTGATCCCTGAAACAAATCCAGTTTGACACCCTGTTGTAATTGATCAGTCTATACTTGTCTAACCTTTTGAAGTGGTAGAGTTTGACAGGGAAATGTTCAAACCCTAATGGTCTTTGAAATATTAACTTTCAGATCCTTATTCTTGTTGCGTCATCAGCTATGAGCCGATTAGCTATCTAACCTGCAGTTAATTCAGGTTTAGCCAGCAGCATGACATTAAAAGCACACAGATTCAGATCTCCCATCAATACAACATTAACATCACCACAAAATTCCTTATACATGTATCCATACACACAAAGAAACTGAGGGAAAATCACATTTCCTTGTCTTATGCTGCTCAATGTTGAATTAGTCACTACATAATCAATTTATGCCCATGCATATTTCACTTCTATCAAAAACTGCTCTTGTCTTGTTCAGCAACTAAGCTTCATCTTTACACAAAACATTCCATAAGCCTTTTCACTGTTTCATACAGTTCCTTTAAATCTCAAAATGTGTTCTCATATTCAGACATTTGTGATAAGAACATTG